AAAGAATGGCCCCATTAGGGCACCGTTGCAAAGCACTGGGAGGTACAGCCACAGCCGGGACCAGCACGGCGCCAGTGGGGATGAAGTGTCAGATGCTGAGAATGCTCTGCAGGTCGGGTCAGGGTTGACAGGACCGGCTCATGGGTTTGGTGTGGGGTGTGAGGGGAACAGAGGCTGCACCCCAGGCTCCTGGCCTGAGTGGCTGTAGATTGTGGCACCAAATACTGAGCTCGTGAAGATGGGGGAAGAGCTGATGATGAAGACAGCAAGAGTTTAGTGTGAGCCACACTGAGTTTGAGACATGTATCGGACATATAAGGGGAAGGCAGGTGGACACGCAGTACGGAAGTCTGGAGCCCAAAGGAGAGGTGTGGGCTGCAGTGGACAGCCTAGGAGTATTCAGAGTTGTGACACTGACCAAGAACACCCAGGAGGTAATTCACGGATGAGCGGGGCTGAGGCGAGGGGCTAGCCGCAGGCAGGACAGCAGACTGGCTGCCTCGTTCACGCGGCAAGAAAGGCGTTCCAAAGCCCTCAGTTCCTTTCTTTATGCCTCAGTTTCTCCATTAACACATTAAAAGATGCCAGATCTGAAGTTGGGCTTGTTTTTAAAAGGTGGCTTCCAACGATGGTTTTTCTTGGTCTCAGCCTGTCTCGTCATCCAGGGCAGGACAGGCCCGGTCCGCGGCCGAGGGATGCCATGGAAGCGACAGTCCACTGGGAAAGACCGCTGCTCCGGATCCATTCTGGAAGGCCTGGGGATGGGACAGGCCACTGAAGTAGAACAGGATGTCAGATGCACACATCAGAAAGGGCAGGAGGACAGAACACAAAACGAGAGAGGGAGGGGGACAGAGAGCAAGGACGGAGGGTTAGAGACTCGAGATGAAGGAAGCAAGAGATGGACCGGAAGAGAGGTCCACAGAGAGAGAGGGACGAGAAAGAAGGTGAGGAAAGGGTTTCCAGGGCGACAGCGCCTGGACTGGGCCCTGTCGTTGGACAGTGAGGCTGACTGGGAGGCCTGATCTCAAGTAGCCCTCATCCCGTGAGAGGGTGGGGGCTGCCTGGGGAGTTGGGCTTGATACATCCGGAAGGATCTTCAGAGGCAGAAGTGGGAGGACAGAGGGCACCCAGGCGCTAGGACAGTGGGAGCTGCAGGATCGGAGAGCCAGAGGAGTGAACAGCCCTGGCAGATTTTCTGCGGGTGAGCGGAGGGGGCAGGAAGCTTGGTGGTGTTGGCACAACGTGAGAAGTTCCAGGGAGGCGTGGGAGGGCAGCTTCTGCAGGACACAGACTTTGCAGAGGGAGAGTGGCAAACAGGCTGACTGCAGCCAGCTCCGGCCGGCTCCACAGGGTGCTTCTTTTTCTCCATGTGGAGCTGGCGTGCGTCACCCTGAGGACAGCAGCGAGCACCCATAGGGCATCTTCTGTGTGCCAGGCACATCTGGCACTAGATGATAGACACCAGCAATCCTCACCACACCCCAGGAATGACTAGGTTTTAGCACCATTTCATAGATGAGGAGGCTGAAGCTAACTTGCCCGAGGTCACAAACCAGGGTGTCTGGTGGCTTCCCCTCCTCTCTGCCAACCCTGAGAGTGGACTAGGGTGGAGTTATCTGGAAAGAGGAAGCTGTACCTGAGAACCCTAAATGCACACACACATGCACACACATGGATACACGCCCACGCACACACGCACGTGCACAGATACATGCACACATGGATACATGCACAAATGCACACACACATGTACACACACGCACACATGCACACATGGACACACACATTCACACATCTTACATGCATACATGCCTGCACACACACCCACACCCACATGCACACACATGCATACATGCATGATGCACACGCACACACATGCACATGCACGCACACATGTACATGCACACATACATGCACACATGGATACATGCACAAATGCACACCCGCACACATACATGAATGCACATACACGGGTAGACATGCATGCACACACCCATACATGCACACATACCCACATGCACCCACACTTATACATGCACAATGCACACACACACATGCACATGCACATACATGCACACACATACACACATGCACAGTGCACACACCCACATGCATGCACACACACACGCACACATGCATACATGAACAAATGCACACATGCACATGAATGTACATGAATGCACACACACATGTGCACACCCATACATGCACACACATGCACATGCACACACATGCATACACATACACACACATGTACAGTGCACACACATCCACATGCATGCACACACATGCACATATGCATACATGCACAAATGCACACGCACACGTACATGAATGCACATACACGTGTGCACACATGGACATGCACACATGGACACATACACATGCACACATGGACACACATACATGCACACATGCATACACGCACAGTGCATGCACGCACACATGCACATTCATGTACATGCACACATGGACATATGTACACACACATACACAGGCACACAGGCACACAGATACACCCACATGTGCAGGCACGCGGTGCTACAGCTCTGATTAGTAGGTAAATGAAAGGTCCCCATCTAGTGGTGACTTGGCCAAAGTGCAGACACTCAATCCCAAAGGCCCATAGAGGCTTCCTTCACCTCTTCTCTTCTCCATTCATGGATTCTCTTGAGCATCTGTCCTGGATGCTGGGGACGCTATGATGAACCAGACAAGGTCCCAGCCACACAGCTTATGCTTCATTGAGGGAAGGCAGACACAAGCCAGGAAACCAGTAAAAGTTCAGTGAAAAGCACAAAGAGTGAGACACACCGGTGTGGAGGGCGTGGCCAGAGAGAGCTTTAGATCAGGCGGTCAGGGAGCACGTCTCTGAGGAGGTAAAATTTGACCAAGCCCCGAATGGTGGCAGGGATCCCACTGCTTTCAGATCCTGAGAAGCATTTTAGACAAAAAGGACAGCAAGTCCAAAGGCCCGGGGACAAGACAGAGCAAGAGCTGTGACATGAAACAGCCTCGTGTGCCTGGGAGAGTGGAGGGTGATGAGGGTGGAGAGGCTGGTGAGGGTGGCGTCCCGGCAAGTGCGCCTGGCCACGGAAGGATTCGGCATGTCTTTCCCGAATAGGAAACCACACTGGGGCTGTTAGCCAGAGAGTGGATGTAACTTGGGTTACAGTTTGAGACAGTCCCTGCTTATTTCCTTCCATGAAGGAGGAAGAGCTGCTGGTGACAGGGATTTGGGCAGTGGCCAAAGAGATGGAGAGAAGAGGGCAGAGCACGGGCTGTTTTAAACACAGAGATGATGAGCAGGACCTGCTGGCAGACTGGATGTGAGAAGTGGAAGGGGCGGAGGCAGTGAGGTCGGCGCCTGGTTTCATGAGAATGTGGGTGAAGCTCACAGGCAGAGGGAGCGCTGGAGACCACAGGTTCCCTTGTGAATGCCTCAAGCTGGAGATGCCTGAGACGTCCAAGTGAGACATGAAGCAGGCAGCTGGAAATACGAGATGAGCTCTGGGAAAACGCTGCCCAGGCGCCCACACCAGCTCCAGCTGGGAAGAAAACCCCCGCTGTCCTTGCCTCCCTGTGTCCTCACCTTTTACGATGTAATTCTTCGATTTTCTTATCAAGAGGCAGAATCTGTTTGCCCCACCCTTGAATCTAAACTAGCTTTGTGGCTTAGTTTGGGCAATAGAATGCGGTGGGTGGGATGGTTGACCAGTTTTGAGCTAGGCCTCAGGAGGTCTGGGGCACTGCTACTCTCCCTTAGGACAGCTGCCCCCACCCTGAGGAAAATCCCGGGCTAGCCTGGAGGAGGAGAGCCGGCGGGATCAGTGGCCTCAGCTGACTTCAGACACTGAGAGAGAGCTCAGCGAGCAGCAGCATGTACCCGACGACAGATGCATGAGGGAACCTGGCTGAGACCAAAACAACTGCCCAACTGAGCCCAGGCTGAACTGCCAACGTGCAGAATTGTGAGCTAAATAAAGGCTTTTGTTCTAAGTCGCTGGGTTTTGGAGGGGTTTGTTAGGCAGCCATAACTAACTGGTGTAATTAGTCCTGTTCCCTTACCCACTGAGACTGGTGGGTTCTCAGCCCTGAGCTGGACTTAGAGGCCAAGGAAATGTTGTGGACATGGCCTTTGTTCCTTTTCTTGAAGGTGCAGAAGGAGGTCATGTTCATGTAATAACGGAGAACACACAACTGCAATCCTTTGCTTGGTCAGGCAACACACATTTATTGAGCACTTGCTATGTGCCAGGCACAGTGTCAGGCAGTAGGGATTCAGAGATTTAAAGAAAACAAACAGAAATCAGATCCGAAACTCCTGGGGAGAATGCTGAGAGTGGTGCCAACTTTTAGGAGTTCAGACGCAAACTCTGGATTGAGAAATGGACAGAGGTGAAGACAAAAAGGGACACCAGAAGTGGGAGTCAGCAGAGGGGCTGGGGGCTTGGGCTCCTGCGCTCCACCTGGCTCGGCTTTTACTATCATGTGGGTGACTGGCCTGCTCTTCTCCCCCACCCACGCGTGATCGGAAATTGCAACTGCAGATGGGAAGCTTGAGATTTATGAGCATCGGGGAAAGTGTCAGCAGACCATGAGGGAAGCAAGTGTAGAAGGTGGACGTGGAACCAGGGTGGCCGGCCCAAGCCAGTGGGCACTTCCTCACCTCGGGGATCCTGACCACCGCAGAGACCAGCTCCAGACTGTGAAGATGCCTGGCCAACCGACACAGTGGAAGAAGAAGGGCCAGGGCCAGGCTCAATGCTGGGGGACAGGTTTCCTGGGTGAGATCCAGGCCGTCGTTTTAAAAAAAATTTCTTGAGACAGTCTCATTTTGTTGTCCAGGCTAGAGTGCAGTGGCACGATCGTGGCTCTCTGCAACCTCCACCTCCCAGGTTTAAGCCATTCTCCTGCCTCAGCCTCCTGAGTAGCCGGGATTATAAGCGTGCACCACCACGCCCAGCTAATTTTTGTATTTTTAGTAGAGACGGGGTTTCACCACGTTGGTCAGGCTGGTCTTGAACTTCTGTCCTCAATCGATCCACCTGCTTAGAACTCCAAAAGTTCTGGGATCACAGGCGTGAGGCACCATGCCCAGGCCGTCTTTTCCACTCCCTTCACTCTTCCATCCCCTAATCTATAAGACAGAAAGGACGGGCCCTCGTTGGTACACAAGCCCCATTTGTTTGGCACTGATGCCCTGATTCTCGGAGAACTGCGGTGGGAGTGTAGAGGGATGCGTGGACTCTCACCGAGAAAGCCTGCTGTCCCCAACAGGGTCGCGCCTTCCATGAGCACAGGTGTACTGAAGACCTCCTCCAGGCCAGGCCGTCTGCACCAGACTCCACAGAGCTCTCAGACCAAAGGGAAAACAAGTCAGCAGGGGATTGCAGAACCAGCTGGGGGCGTCGGGATCAGGGTGGGCTTGCGGAGCAATGCCCACCTCCAGGAGGGTGAGGGAAGCTTCCCTGAGGACTGCTGGGAGTCTGACATCTCATCTGAGACTTGAAGATGAGGAGGAGTAGGAGGGCCAGGGCCACGCAGAGCCTCCTAGGTCGAGGGTTGGAGAGAATCGGCATCTGCCCGCACCAGCTCCTTGCGTGCCTGCCTTGCCCGTGTGCCTTGTCTGACTCCACTGAGGGCTCTCCTCCATCATCGGTTCCTGCAGGCCAGAACCCGGGTGGCAGATTCTCATATTCCACATCCCACACCCAATCTGTTGGCACTGCCTTCAAAATGCATCTAGATTCTGTATTTATAAAATGCTTTCATCAAATGTTTACATGGGAAAAAAAAATAAGAGGGGAAAAATCTAGAAGCTGGTCACTTCTTACAACTTTCACCGCCACCTTCTCTGGTGGGAGCCACATCGCTGGTGCCTGGGTTGCTCCCTACCGTTCTCTCTGTGCCCGCCCTCGGCCCCTCCATCTCTGCTTCACACAGCAGTAGGCCAGCAGTGACTAAGCCCGGCCCTGGCACTCCCTGCTCACGCCCCCGGTGGCTGCCGCTGGGCTGTCTTTACAGGGCCGCCCGGTCAAGTCTGGCCTGGAGTTGCACCTTCTTGATGAGACTTATGCTGACTGCCCTTCAAGCCTGCCGTCTCCCACCAGCCTTGCCCACCCTCTTTGCCCTCCCCTTTATTCATCTGATGAAAACTGGAGACTAGGGAAGCGGGTGGGGGAACTGGGACTTGTTGCGGATGGCCAGCTAGTGCCCAACAGGGCCGCAGTGTGAACCCCTGTCTTCTGATTCCCGATCTCTTGCTTTCCACCCACTTTCTCAGACTGTGGGAGCGGATCCGATGCCCTCTGAGTCTCAGGCTCTGCAGTTGACATTCAAATTCTGCATTTGTTGTGTGTCCTGGAGTCATTTACTTGGCTCCTCGAGGCCTCGGTTTCCTCCCTGTAGAAGCAAAGCTATGGATAGTCCCCACCAAAGCGCTCAGCTCAGTGATTGACGTGCTCTGCCTTTCTTACGTGGGCCCTGACATCCCGAGATCCCAGGCCCCCTTCCCGCCAGAGCATGGGTATTTTAGAAGGGTTGCCATTGACAGGGCAATATGTCTTGTTTTTAAAAACTGCGCACCCCTGTCTTCTGTTGCTAGGAGCCTTGGTATTTCTCTCCAGAACTTTCCTTGTTGTCACAGTTGGTGGCATCAGCTACTTGTTAGGAAGCCACAACTGAGGAAGCCGACAGCTAGTGTTACCGTGCCAGCCTCTGGAGGAAGGGCCGCCTCTCTGCATTCACAGTCAGGGCCCAGCCGAGGAAGGGGCAGCTCCCAGGCCCAGCTGGGAGCAGGGTCAGTCAAGGCCTCGGGTGCCTGGCTGCGGCTCAGGGGCAGCAAGGGCTGACAGACCCTTCCCTTCTGCACCCTCCCCCTCCTCCTCCTCCCACTCGCTCCCATTTCCCCTCACACTCATTTCCCCTTACACTCGTGGGCAGGGAGCCAGATTTTCTGGCTAAACCACAGCTTTGCTTCTGCCAGGTTTCTGTTTGGGGGAGAATGTCTCAGGCAGTCCGCTTCCATCAGCAACGCCTTCTACCTGCCACCATCTGCGTCCCCGACCCGAGGACCTTCTGCCCAGGGCACCCGTCACCGGCTCTGACAGTTTCTCTTCTCCCCGCCAGGCCCTGTGCGAGGGTCTCATCCCTGACCTCATGTAATCCTCAAACCCTATGGAATGTGCTTCATTATCAACCACATTTTGTAGAAGGGGGAAACTGAGGCTGGGAGGGGTGAAGCGACTTGCTTCTACACTGGAGGAGCCAGGGCCAGGGTGCCACCCAGCCTGTGCTGTTTGCTTTAAGGGCAGCGCTTCTTGAGAGGCTGTGGCGACAGCAATGGCGGAGGCCACACTGATGGCTTCCTGTGCTCCCCTGGGCACTGTGGGGCAGGCCCGCAGCAGATCTCCACTGCGGGTCCGGGGCAGAGGTGTGGGAAGGGTGGAGCGGAGCCCCGGTTGTGACCCCTGATGTCCACTAGGTGTCGCCCGCGTTCTGGAAAAGCTGTCAGCGACGGCCGCCGGGTCCCAGGAACCAGGAGAGGGCCTGGGAGGGGCACGTGTCTCCCGAGGAGGCAGGCAGAGGTAGGTCTGGGCAGAGAGGGCAGCCCCAGGCCAGGGACGAGCACGGACAGCCCCCTCCTCACGCGTGGAAGACCTCACTACCTCAGATGGAGTCTTCATGGGTCCTACCGCGAGGAGATCCCTAGGCAGCAGAAGGGGCCCCTCCTCCCAAAATGAGACCCATGCTCTGCTCCTCCTCCCCATGCCAGGGAGACCTCAGCTGCACCCCATCCCCTTCTGGGCAACTTTGGGACTGCCACACAGACCCAGGTCCTCACCCTTGTGCTCCCAGCCACACTACTTGGCACCATGTGCCAAGGTTAGGAACTCACTGTCTGCCTCCCTCCTGGGCTGTGGGCTCCCCGGGGCAGAGGCCGGAAGCCCAGCTCCACTGCTGGCACACAGGGGACTCAAGGCCGCTGAGTGAACAAACCTGTGGGTGAGCTTGTCCAGGGATTTTCAGACTTAAAATACTGAGGCCCGGCGCGGTGGCTCACACCTATCATCCCAGCACTTTGGGAGGCCGAGGTGGGCAGATCACCAGGTTAGGAGATCAAGACCATCCTGGCCAACATCGTGAAACGCCGTCTGAACTAAAAATACAAAAATTAGCCAGGCGTGGTGGTGAATACCTCTAATCCCAGCTAACTCGGGAAGCTGAGGCAGGAGAATCACTTGAACCAGGGAGTTGGAAGTTGCAGTGAGCTGGATCACCCACTGCTCTCAGCCTGGCAAGAGAGTGAGACTCCATCTCAGAGAGAAAGAGAGAGACAGAGAGAGAGAGAGAGAGAGAGAGAGAGAGAGAGCGAGCTGAGAAATCCCTCTTCCTCTTCCAGGGCCGCCTGTGCAAACTTCCCCTGAACAGCAGTCGCCACGATGTCCCCAGGGAAGCACATGGCTTTAGGGAGCATGGGAAACAAGCTGTTCTGGTCGCTGTGGGGAGGTAACCGATGCCCATACAGGAAGGAGCCTGAGTCAGGGAAAGAGCCAGGACCCAGCTGCCCTGTGGGTGGGTCCACCTCATGGCCCCACCATCACTCACTTTCACTCTGAAGAAATACCGGGCCTCCATACCAATGATCTCAAAGTAATCATCTCCTGCCCACTTGCTGCACCCCCCACTCCAGCTCACAAAGTCCTTTCCTCCCCGCTGTCTCAGTAGCTGCCACAACAAGCCTGGGACCTTGCACTGTAGAAATGTAGTCCCATTTCACAGATGGGCCCATCAAGGCTCGACAGATGTCAGCGGCAGAGCTGGAAGGAGAACCGGACAGGCCAGCATCAGGACCTCTGTCCTCAGTCTCTCCTCCCGCCGCCCCAGCTGCCCAAATCATCATTCAGGAGCTGCATGGAGCAAGGATTAAAAGTCAGACCCAGCCGAGCGCAGTGGCTCACACCTGTAAGCCAAGCACTTTGGGAGGCTGAAGCGGGCAGATCACTTGAGGTCAGGAGTTGAAGACCAGCCTGGCCAACATGGTGGAACGCTGTCTCTAATACAAATACAAAAATTAGCTGTGGGTGCTGGTACACGCCCGTAATCCCAGCTATTTGGGAGGTTGAGGCAGGAGAATCACTTGAATCCAGGAGGTGGAGGTTGCAGTGAGCTGAGATCGCACCAGTCTGGATAATACAGCAAGACTGTCTCAAAAGAAAACAAAAAAAAGTCAGATGCAGAGGACTCGGGCCCAGCTCCATCACCTGTGACCTGTGTGACTTGAACTCTCTGGGCCTCAGTTATCAGCAGAAATGGGTGGGGAGAGTACGGCAGAGATCTGTGCCTGGAAAGCACTTAGCCGGTCCTTACCATCACCCCACGGTCATCGCCCCACTGCTGGACCACGGGGTCTAGGGTCCATGGCGTCGGCACCACTTCTCACCCCCAGGCTGGGGGGCAGGAGAGAGATGGGCCATGCCAGCTACTGGGCATGGGAACCCACCTTCCCCAGAGCTGGAGAAGCAGGGAGAGTCACTGTGCCCTCCCCCAACGCCTGGCCAAGGAGGGCCCAGCCATGGAGAGTTGAGGTAGGAGGCCTTTATTCATTTGAGGAGGGGAAGCCGAGTCCTGTGGAGATTCTCCGGGAGCTGCAGCATCCAAAGTGTCTGGGGTGAGTGGGGGTGGGCAGGACCCCCAGGCAGCAGAATCCCATCCCCAGACCTTGGCCTGGACTTCCTGGGGGGCAGGGGAGGGTGTGTGTGCGTGTCGAGGGGCGTAGCCTGGAACCTGCGTTCCCCTAGCCCGCGGACCATGGCCAGCAGGAGGCGGCGCTGTGGCGGAGTGGGGAGTGGGGAGTGGTGGAGGACAGCATGGGACCCTCACACACTGACGGTGGCACTGGGGGGCAGTGTCCTTGTCTCCATGGCTGGGCCTCTGGAACCTGGGGCTGGTGAGGCTCCCTGGCCTCCTTTTCATACATGTCCCTCCTCTGCCCTTCCTCCCCATCAACAATGGTGCCCGGGGCACTGCCGGATGAGCTTGCTGGTGGCTGTTGAGTCCAGGCAGAGAAGGGCCTCAGTGGTCATCGGACTGGTGGGGCTGGCTCCGTGGAGGCCGCCGACCCTGAGTTGAGGCTCGGACAGGTAAGGAGCAGGGGCAGGTGCACCTGGAGAAACAGCAGTGCTGGGGGCCCGCAGGGGCGTCCCCTCCACCTCAGCCCGGTTCCAGGCCCCACACAGACACCCAGCCCCACAAGGGCCTGCCCCCAGCTCCTCTGTGCTGCCTGGAGGCCCCTCTCTGCTGGTCACTCACCTCGTCTCTTCTGGCTTCCATCTTCTCCCCTCTCCTTCACCACCCTGTTCCCTCCTTACTGCCTTCTAGAATCTTCCACACAGCCTCCCACCTTGACCGTCTTCTAGAATCTTCCACACAGCCTCCCACCTTGACCGTCTTCTAGAATCTTCCACACAGCCTCCCACCTTGACCGTCTTCTAGAATCTTCCACACAGCCTCCCACCTTGACCGTCTTCTAGAATCTTCCACACAGCCTCCCACCTTGGTGTTCTCCCTCCTTTGCTTCCCTCTTCACTGAGGTCGGTCTCAGCCCTCAGCCTCTTCCCCACCAATGGGACTTGTGACACCTGCCCACAGCCCAGGGAGAGAGGGTGAGGGTCCCCCCTTCACCGTTCCAGAGGCAGGCCAGGAGGGCAGTGTCTGTCAGGGACCTGGATAGGGGTCCCTGGCGGGGGTAGGGGCATTCCTCAGAGCCATGCGGTGTGGTGGGGCAGGGCCGGGGTGACACGCATGAGTCAATGGGGGATACAGAGAAGACTTGCAGGCGTCGGGGCTGGGTTTTCATGTGTCCCCATATTAGGCCGGGGGTGTCCCTGGGTGTGGCTCTGTCAGTGCCCAGGATTCTGCTCTGAGGCTGGACTCCAGGGCTGGGACACTCAACACAGCGCTATACCCTGGGGTCTGAGCCTGGACTCATGGCCACCTTAGCGAGGGCTGGGGTGAGGCCACCTGCTCTAGAGAGCCTCAAGCCCAAAGTAACCGCCACCCCGGACCATCCTGTGGGACCAGCCGAGGGGTCCTGGAACCCAAGCTTTGGGACCAGCAATCTGCCTTCCTGTGACCTTGGGCCGGGACTGCACCCACCTCTGGGCCTCGGCTGGTGGCTCAGACTCTCTAAGGCTCCGGGGAGTCAAGCTGGGGCCACAACAGAGGCTCTACTGAGAGGCCCCTCCTGTCTCTCTCTCTCTCTCTTGCTCTTCCTCTCTCTCTCTCTCTCTCTCTCTCTCTCTCTCTCTCTCTCGGATCTCCCCGGCCACCCTCATCAGGAGAGACCCCTAAAGCTCTGTGCTTCCCACCTAATGCAGAATCAGTGGTGAGATGCAACCAAAGTCAGGACCCAGGCCTTCCTGAGTCCTCGGGGGTGGGGGCTGCTGAGCCCTCACTGGAGGGCTCCAGGGAGGAGGCAACCAGCAACCCTGGGGCTCCCAGCCTGGCTCCTACCCTCCCTGCTCCTCTCTCTGGTCCCCAAGCCAGACCCTCCACCTGCTCTTCTCTCTCAGACCTCAGAGGCTCTAGGGAAAGGTGGGGGGCGCCGGGGATGGGTGACTGTAGGTGACCTCCTCAGGGGGCGGTTTGTAGATGCTGCAGCTGGGTGTGGAGCCCTGGCAGTAGACGTTGAGGAAGCCTCGGTACTCCTCTCGGTATATCCTGTTCATGAGGCACAGAACCACATTCTTGTCACACGCGCACGTCTGCTTGTCACACTCTGTCTTGTTGAGCTCACCTAAAGGGGGATGGGGGGGCAAAGGCTGTGAGCGAAAGGAGCAGGGGCCCTCCAGGACCACTGCTGGGGAGGGGGAGCCCACAAAGAGTTGGAGAGCCCAGTGGCCCTCAGAATGTGGTCCCAGGGTGGCAGGGCCAGCACCACCCATGGGCCCCACCCCACGCCTGCAAGGTCAGCAGCTCTGGGCTGGGGCCCAGCAGTCTGTGTTGTAACAAGCTCTCTAGGTGACTCTGGTGCATGTAAAATTGGGGAACCACTGACGTCTAACACAGTTATTGCATAGCTGGGGAAACTGAGCCCCAGAAAGGGGGATGGGTTTGTGTAAGTCACACAGAGAACTGAAGGCCCACCCCCAGACTTCTTCCCTTCAATTACAAAATCAAAGAACACCCACTTAAGAGGGAGTTATTGCCAGCCGTGGTGGCTCACACCTGTAATCCTACCACTTTGGGAGGCCGAGGCAGGTGGATTGTTTGAAGTCAGGAGTTCAAGACCAGCCTGACCAACATAGTGAAACTCCATCTCAACTAAAAATATAAAAAATTAGCTGGCACGGTGGTGAATGCCTGTAATCCCAGCTACTTGGGAGGCTGAAGCAGGAGAATTGCTTGAACCTGGGAGGCGGAGGTTGCAGTGAGTCGAGATTGCACTCCAGCCTGGGCAACAAGAGCAAAAATTTGTCTCAAAAAAAAAAAAAAAAGAAAAAAGAAAGGGAGTTATTGGTAAGAAATGAGTGAGAAAAACACAAAACACTTGTCAACAGCTTAGTGAATGCCTAAGAACCTAGCACAGGCTTAATGGAGGGTTAGTGCTACTGTGGCTTGTCCCTGTGCAGTTGTTATAATTATTAGATTTCAGAGATCATCCTTAGGTGCACAATAGAATCAGCTAGAGGGCTTGTTCAAACAAAGACTGCTGGACCTCACCCCTAAGTGTCACATTCTGTAGGTCTGGGTGGGGCCTGATAATCTGCACTTCTAACAAGTTCCTGGGTGCTGTAGCTGCTGCTATTGTTGGTTCAGAGAATACCCTTCGAGAACCTCCAGCTAGCTCCACTGGTCTGCAAACCTTTCACACTTCTATCAGCAAAATCTTGGCTCTTAAACGAAACTCTTTAAAGAAGGCTGAGGCATCAGACAGCCCCAGAAGATGCTGTTTAATGATAAAATACACTAAAGTGCCAGGTAACCTCTCAGGGACTGTGTGACCATCACCTCTCAAGGCTGCTAGCTTTGATGGCCCCAGGGATCCCCAAAACCCAACATGAAAGCCACTGCTTTAAGTTAGTGCTTTACCCTTGGTGGGTGATGGGTGGGGGAGAGTCTCTCTCTTCCAACTTCTTTAATAGGGGGACATCTGCTATCTCAAGCCAGCCCCTCCACCTTATGTTTGACCAGCAGAACGTGAGGACCACAGAGCTCTGGGCTCCCAAGGGGTCCCAAATGCACCCCGTTCTCCACTAAACTCCTCCCCAGATGACAGGGGACTTGAGCGTCTTTGCAAAGCCAGCATTGCTTGTGATCTATGAATAAGGAACAACTTGGTAGCGCCAGGTGAAGACATGGGGGTAAAGCTGCCCACAGGCTGGGCCAGGTGGGGGTAAAGCTGCCCCCGGGGCTGCCCACAGGCTGGGCCAGGTGGAGGCCTGCCCCAGAGAGGAGCATAGAGTGGGGCAGGGCAGGGACACCTGGGCGCTGCTACCTGGATGCCGCTCGTGCTTACCTACATGTTGGGAAATAGTCACAGCCAGCTCATAGTCAATGAGGAGACCTGCCAGGCCTGGTGCTAATACTTTGGATCCCTGGAAACACTGGGTGTCCTGGGATGGAGCCACCTCTGCAGGTGGGGTTCCAGTGACAGAACTGGAAGGGAAGGAGTCTGCTCTGATCCAAACCCCTCAATGGACCCATGGGTGATGAGACGGAGGCCAGGCGGGGTTAGGTCTACATGGTGCAAGGAGCCGGAACCTGAGTTCAAACCCAGGCCTCCCAGCTCCCTGGCCAGCATGTCTCAGCCTCTCTGCAGAGCTGCAGGCCCAGAACCATTTGGGGAGCTGGCTGAAGGCCAAGTTGCCGGGCCCCTCCCAGACCCACTGAATCAGAATCACTCAGAATCTGGAGGACAGGAGAAGCAGGATGCCAGTTCTAGGACTGGAGCATCAGAGCACCTCAGGGAGACGATCTAGAGCCACAGCTAGGCTGGTCAGATTTAGACTGAGCAAAAATGCAAAACCAAAATCAAAACACAGGACGGCTGGTTAAATTTCAGTTTCAGGCTGGGCTGGTGGCTCACACCCGTAATCGCAGGACTTTGGGAGGCAGAGGTGGGAGGAAAGCTGGAGGAGTTCAAGACCAGCCTGGGCAACATAGTGAGACCCCATCTTTACAAAAAAATACAAAAATCAACTGGGTGTAGTGGCACTTGCCTGTAATTCCAGCAACTCGGGAGGCTGAGGCAGGAGAATCACCTTAGCCCAGGAAGTCAAGGCTTCAGTAAGCTATGATGGCACCACTGTACTCCAGCCTGGCCAACAGAGCAGGCTTTGTAATTAATTAATTAAAATTTCAGGTAAATAGTACATGTTTTAGTAAAAGTATGTCCCAAATGTTTCATTTTCTATAAATATTAATTAATTTTATATTAGCATTTAATTTTGAGTATCAATACGTCCCATGCAGTATTTAGGACACACTTAATAATAAACCATTTTTCATTATATATCTAAGATGTGAATTTAACTGCACAACCTGTCTTTCCTTTTTTTTTTTTTGTTTTGAGACAGAGTCTCACTCTGTCACCCAGGCTGGAGTGCAGTGGCACAATCTCGGCTCTCTTTAACCTTCGTTCCTGGGTTCAAGTGATTCTCCAGCCTCAGCCTCCTGAGTATCTGGGATTACAGGTGCCCACCATTATGCCCGGCAAATTTTTGTATTTTTAGTAGAGACAGGGTTTCTCCATGTTGGCCAGGCTGGTCTTGAACTCCTGACCTCAGGTGATCCACCCGCCTCGGCCTCCCAAAGTGCTGGGATTACAGGCGTGAGTCACCATGTCCGGCTGGCAGCCTGTATTTCGTCTGGCAAGACTGTCCACCATCCAAGCACAGGCTGATGGAGCCGGCCACTCCCTTCTCCGGGGGCCCAGGTGGCAGGGGAGGGACTCACTGCAGATGATCTCAGTGTCATTCTCAATGGTGTGGTCGTAGTGGTCCACGTAGGGGTGGCAGCCCTGGTCAAAGAGTTCCTGGTAGCAGCAGTCGTGGGCATGGCAGCACCTAGGGACCAGCAGAGGTGAGTGGACAGGCATGGCTGGGCTGGCCCATCTCCCACCAGCACAGACCTCTGATCATGTATTCCAGTCTCTCACAACTCAAACGTTTGAACTGAAGCCCAGAGGGGGACAGTTACTTGTCCGAGGTCACACAGCCAAGCAGAGCTGGGACTGGCACCCCAGGCTCTGATCCTCACAGCTTCAGTTTCATGGCTGCGGCCAGAGGTGCCCATCCCAGGACACATTCTCCTCTGTGTCTTTGTTCTATCCATGGGGTTTCCAGCTCTTCCCGCAGAGCCCCGGCTGCAGCTGTCGGAGGGGTCAGGGGCCTGTCTGGGTTTAAGTCAAGGTTGGAGGAGCATCGACTATATGTAGAGGCTACCCCGGCTGTGCCTCATGGTCAGGGAGGGACAAAGGTCTGGAGGGTCAACAGGGACTGGTGGGATGCAGGACAGGAAGCACAGGCAGTGTGGCTGTCCCCATCACCTCTGGTGGAGTGAATGTGCATTTATTAAGCTTTCTGTGATACCAACTTGGTGCTGGCAGCTGTTGGGGAGATAGGAGCAGAAGACACACATGGCTTCCGGGAACTCTCAGTCTGATGGAGGAGGCACAGTCCTGTCTTCCAGAGCCTCCCATCTCAGGCGGGCAGGGGTTCCAGCCCTTGCCTTTGTGGGGTGTCAGCTGTCTGACTGCTCTCCCATATGTGTTTGGAGCAAGTCAAAAGTCCCTTTCTGGAGAGAGGAGGGACTGAAACACTTTCAAGCCCGTGACCTTGGAGATGGACAACGGAAAGCATCCAAGACAGTTTGGAAAGAACACGGTCAAAAAGCAGACTCTGGTCACCGACTCACTAAAAAAGCCAAATTCTTTGGGGAAAGAAAGTCTGCCCTTCTCAGGGATGGAGGTCAAGTTCAGTCTGACCTTCAGCTATCGTCATTTGGTCCCTGACAGGAGCCCAGCCTCTGGTACCTACCAGTCCACTTCATCCTTGGGCTGCCCACGGCCCCCCAACCCACAGTAGCAGCCGTAGCCCACGAAGGACAGGATGGCGCTCCTCCCTGTGACGGCCTCCACCATGGCCTTCAGGTTGAGCAGGCTGCTGTGGGCTGTGGACAGAACTGCAAGAGAACCAGGGGGTGCTCTGAGCCCCTGCCCCGTGGCTGGCCGCTCCCAACCTCTCTCATCCTGAGAGTCTGGACTGATCATCCTCCCAATGCGGAGGGATACATAGGGCAGGGGGAGAAGGCAGGAGGAAGCAGGAGAGGAAGCTGGGACAAGGAAGGTGGGCAGCTAAGCAGGAGGAAAGAAATCTACAAGGGACAAGGTTTGGGGCTGCAGTGAGCTTTCAATGTGTTCATGGATGGAAGGGGCTTGGGACAGTGCCTGGCATGGAGCGAGCCCCCAGCAAGGATGGCCTGCATTGTTTTCTCAGGGCTGCAGGGCTTACTGCAGGGATGTGAGTGTATCAGGTGTGTGTACACTCACCCACAGATACCTGATACACTCACACTCACCCATACACACCTGATACACTCACCCACACACACCTGATACACACACACCTGAAATACTCGCACTCACCCACGCATACCTGATACACACCTACACACACTTGATACACTCACACTCACCCACATACACCTGATACACTCACACTAACCCCACACACCTGATACACACTCACCCACATACCTGTCACACCCACACACACCTGATACACTTACACCCCCACACATACCTAATACACTCACAGTCACCCCACACACACCTGATACACTCACACTCACCCACACACAGCTGATACACTCACACACACACCTGATACCGACACACACCGACACACACCTGATACACTCACCCACACACACCTGATACACACCGACACACACCTGATACACTCACCCACACACACCTGATACACACCCACACACCTGATACACTCACACTCACCCACACACACACGTGATAACACACCCACACACACCTGATACACACACACACACCTGATACACTCACCCACACACACCTGATACACTCACACACTTGTACACTCACACACTCATGCATTACAGATGCACTGACATACAAAACGCGTCCAGGGGAGAATCAGGGGCCTGGCCCGAGGCCATGTCGACATTTGCACTCCTAGTGAAGGAATCCGAAGGAATCCAAGTCCACGTTCAGTTGGGCTGAAGGCTCTGCCCCTAGCTTGAGCTGAACTCAAGTGGTAGCCTTCTAAATAATAGGCCATTTTGCCTGAATGCAACCAGCCCTCTCTCGCGTCTGACCACGTGGAAGCTTACTTTTGTTTTTGGCCTTTATTTCTTTTCCTCAAGCCAGGCTGTGTTCTGGGAGGTTAACAGGCTGCATGAAAGGCCAGCAAGAGGCCCAGCCAACGGTCCGCGGAGCTGGGGCACCCGCCACATGAATGATGTTGGGACACATGGCAGGGTCAGGTTTCGTCAAGAGCCTCACGCAACAATCCTATGGGGCAGCTACCCAAACACAACGCCCTGGGTACCACCCCCAGAAAGAGGCCCCTGACCTCCCACCACTCTGTGGTACACAGACACCCACCCTACACACACACACACACACACACACACACACACACACACACCCCTGCAGATCTATGCACCCTACATCCGTAAGGACACTCTGGAGACACACACCCCAATTAACACATGCTCACATGAAGAGACACAAATGGGCTCACACTCAGGTGCCTACACTGTCACATACTTTATTGATGCGTGTTGCACACATAGACATCACCACGTGCTCAGACACACCTACACACAGATGCCTGCATCTGTCTGCACACAAAATCATTAACTCCTGTCTGATGGACACACACTGATACACACTCAGGTACACAAATGCCCAGCTAACAACAGCATTTATGATGCTTGCTCAGCTCTGAGCCCTGCCCCCCCGGGGCTCATAAATGCCTGTTTACAGGTGGCTGGAGGGGTAAACAGCTCCAGAACTGGGTGCAGCCTACTGGGCTGAGCCAGGAAGCAGAGGCCCAGAGAGAGGAAGGAAACTAGGCCAGTCAGTGAAACCATAACTCAGGCACCCAAGGTCAAGGGAGACAGGCCAGGAGCGGGAGAGAAGGAGGAGTCCCCCTGGCGTCGTCACTCACCACTGCCAGCGAGGATGGCCATGGCGAAGAGCTTCTTCAGACCCAGGCTAGACCTGTGGGAGGATGCAGCCCAGAGCCTAAGCCCATCCCCTCCGCCCCTGGCAGAGCGGGACCTGCCGCTGCCTTCCCGAGCCTCGTGACAGGCGTCATCAGTGCTGTCTTTTGACATCCTAGTTGCTGCTCCTAGCGCTGTCATCAGCACCTGCCCAGCCCCTCCAGGAGGAGCACACCCCAGATGGCAGAGCCAAGAGGCACCAGCATCTCTTTGCCCCCCCCGACTCTGGCAGAAGCCCCCTCCACACCTCAGCCTCCAGGACAGGAAGCCTGCTGTCTCAGGCCAGACCTCCCAGGCACACGCGAGGGAGTCCACGAAGGAAGTCACGTGACCTAGCCTAGCAGCTGGGTCTTGAACCCAAAGCCAGGAGTCCTGAGTCCCTGGATTCCAGTCCCAGCACTGCTTCCAAAATGTGTGACCTCAGCCTCTCTGGGCCACAGGAGGATTGTGGCCTCACACTCTTTGGGCCATGAGTACTGTGTGAGGGTTGACTACATGATCCCAAAGACCCTTTGAGTGCTGGAAATGCAGTGACCATCTCAGTCCCCCATGCTGACTCTCAGAGCTCTCCTTTCTGGAGGAAGGGATTCTAGGAGCCAGTCCCTCACCCCCATCCCTGCCCCTCCCTGGGAGATTCCATCTCAGGGCAGCAGGCACCTACCTGGAGGTTCTTGAAGGACAGGAGGCCCCGAAGCTTGGGCCCCTCCTCCCAGAGAGGCATCTACCCAGCACCTTCTTTTTGAACCCTTTGGGGTTGGCCTGCGCCCCTTCTGCCATGTTCCGGGTTCTGGGGGGCCAGCAACATAGGTCTTGAAAGGTCTGCGATGCACTCCAGAGGCTGCGGGGAGCTGGCCCCAGCTTCACACTGCCTCGTACACTGGCAGGGGAGTGCCGGGGCAATGCCCCTGGGCAGGTGGCAGGTGACACATGCCCTAGAAAAAGGACTCCAGCTCCTCCTCCCACCCCCACAGCCCTGCCCACAGCTGGCTGGTACAGTCCCCACCCCCGGGTACTCTGACCTGCCTGACTGGGGGCTTTGCATACCTGATAGGAGAATTGGTCTCTCGCCAGGCATCCGAAGGGAAATTAGCCTAAAGGCCTTTCTTTCTCCATCTGAAAGATGTTAAAGGAAAAAAAAAAAAAAAAACTTAGTGACACTTGTTGAAGCAAAGTAAGGCAGGCTTTGTTCAAAGGGGCCATGGGGTCAGGTGTAGGGACATGGTGGCGGGCTCTGCAGCGGGGAAGAGAGACTGGACTCAACTGCAGATGCAACAGGGAGAAGCGGGAATCGACAGCCAAGGAGCAGGGTAGGGTCTGAGGATGGGAAGTTATCCAGAAGCGTCAGGTGTCTTCGGGGGTTTGGGAGACTCTGGCTAAACTGACGCAGCACGATTCCTGCTGAAGGCAGGTGGGTTGCTCAGACACCGCCTTGGGGCCCTGGAGGATGAGGAACGCAACCAGATATGGAGGACAAAATTGGGGATTCTCCTTAAACCAACCTAGCAGGGTTGTGCCATTGCCAGACTTGCCCTTGTAGGGGGCACAGTTACATCTGGTGGAGATGCTGGGGGCGGGGCCTGGTTGTGAGCACCATTTGCCTTTTTTGAAGAGGGGGCAGTGTGTAAGAGAAAGATGGGGCTGGAGAAAATCCAAGGGGGTGTGAGTTTTGGGAGGCCCTCTCAGGGCTGGGCCACCCGGGCTGAGGCTGGGAGTTGAGCAGCTGCAGTCTCACTCATAGAGCCTCCCATGCCAGCTCCCCCAGTTACCAGCTGTCAGACCTTGGCAGGAGAGCGCCCTTCCCTGGTCTCTGAGCGCCCAGCTGTAAGTGCACGTAACAAGGGCTCATGGAATGAGGACGATGCTCATAGAAGTGGGGTGGCATATGGTGGGGGGCGGGCGTCGATGCCCACATAAAGATCTGATTGTTACAAAGTAGAGGCCTGGGCCGGCATGATCCTTCACACCCACAAGCCCAGCACTGTGGGAGGCCAAGACGGAAGGATTGCTTGAGGCCAGGAGTTTGAGACCAGCCTGGGGAACGTAGTGAGACTCCATGTCTACAAACGGCAACAAAGTAGAGGCTGGTCTCCAGCTTGGGGAGGATTGAGATGCCGGGAGGTGGGAGAAGAGGACCCTTAGAAGTTCACACTGCAGATAACCCACTCACCTTCAAGGTGACCCATCTCTCTCGATGTCCTCAAGCCTGCTGACAAGGGGCAGAAGAGACCCCCGGGGCTTCCCTTCCTGCCCCTAGCTTTGCCAGCCTTCTCTTCTGGCTGTACCAAACCACAGTCCACACGCCACCCCCCGCCCGCACCCTTCCTCTGCCCAGCTTCCTCTCTGTGGATCCAGGTCCATCTCCTCTCCTGTCTCCTCTCCTGGAAGTTTTCCCGGAAAAAAGCCCACTGCCTCCAATCCCACGTCCTTGTTCGGGAGGGCATTCATTTGCATTTGGTGATGCATTCCTTTGTAGCTACCTGTATATGTTTCGGTTTGTGAATCTTGACACTTCCCTCAGACTGGGGATCCGGGAAGGAAGGGGCCTTTGTTTCTTCCAAAAGCCCAGGGTTTCCTCCTTGGGACGAGACTGCATCTGTCTCATCAGGCTGGGAGTCCTCGGAAAACAAGACTAGTCTCTGCCTTCGCTTGTCTGCACAAAATTTGGCTTCTGTCTTTCTTCCATTCTTGCATGCACCACCTAATGACGTCACCACACTCCAAAGAAGGAAGTATCGAGAAGTAAGGCCCAGGATGTTCAAATTCTGAAGATACAGCCTCCAACCTGCAGGTAACTAGAACCGCTTCAACAGAGGTCGAGGAGGCCAAGGCTGGGGCCGGGGACCCCTGAGAGCCTCTGAACAGCGTCATTGCTACTTTCTCAACTGGAATTGCCACTGGACACGCTGGTTGAGCTGGTCCTCAGACAGGCTTGATCCTTGAGGGGGAGGATGGGCTCTTCCCTTTCCCTCCTCCTTCCCCCTACCAAACTCAGGGTGCTCAATAGCGAGTCAATATAAACTGGTTGACCCAGTCATTCCACTTCTGGGACTGCAAACCAAGATGCCAACTTGAGTTGCCCGTAGAGACAGAAGAGGGACACCGAAGGGATGTTTTCTTGATGCTGCCCCCCAACCCCATTGGAAGCAACTTAAATTAGGGGATTAGTTAAGCAAATTATTAGCCATCCATCCATAATCATGTTTTCAAATAATATTTGCTGTTACAAAAATAAACACCCTGTACTACAAGGTAATAGCATTTTAAAAAGGAGTTGGTATACACACGCATACAATTATCTAGAAGGATACATTGTAAAAGAATTAGTAGCAGTTGTCTTTAGACAGTGGAATAGCTGGTGGTTTTTATTTTTTTATTCATATTTTTGGGTATTAAAATGAATGTAAGAATATATAATGAAATGGTCAATTTCCTTGAAAGACACAAAGTCACTCAACTGGAAATAGCTGTATGTCTACGCAAGCCACCGAATGTGTGGTTTAAAACCTTCCCATAAACAAACTCCTGCTCCAGACGGCTTCACTGGTGAATTTGACCAAACACTTAAGGAAGAAGTAACACCAATTGTATGAGTTTGCTAGGGCTGCCATGACGAAAGACCACAAATGGAGGGGCTTCATGTAGAAATTGAGAGTCTGGAAGTCCAAGATTAAGATGCCGGCAGGGCTGATTTCATTCTGAGGGCCCTCTCCGTGGCTTGAAGAAGCCACCTTCATGCCGTGTCTTCGCGTGGCCTTTCCTCTGCACTTCTGCTCCCTCGTGTCTCTTCCTGTGTCTAAATTTACTCATCCTATTAGGCACCAGTCATATTGCGTTAGGGTCCGCCCTTGATCCCACGTAATCACCTCTTTAAAGGCACTGTCTCCCAATACAGTCATGTTCTGAGGTGCCAGGGTTAGAGCTTCAACTTACAAATCCGGGTGAGGGGAAAACAATGGACCCCATAACACCAATTACACACAGATTCTTCCAGAAAATTTAGGTAAAGGAAATGCTTCCCAATTCATTCTACTAAGCCAACATTGTTCTAATACCAAAACCAGATAAAGACATTACAAGAAATAAAAACTACAAGCTATGATTCTTCATCAACATAGATGTAAAAAAATTCTTAACAAAATATTGGCAAACAGGCAAATGCTGGTAAACAGGCAATTATACCATGACGTAGTGGGGTTTATCCCAGGAATGAAAGGTTGGTTTTTGCATGAAAAATCAGTCAACGTAATATACCATACTAACAGACTAAAGAAGAAAAGCCATATGATCATCTCAACAAATCCAAAAAAACAAAACAAACGCCATTTGAAAAAATTCAACATCCATTCCTGATTTTAAAAACTGTCTGCAAACTGAGACAGAATAGAACTTCCTCAACTTGAAAAGGGGTATCTATGGCCAGGTGCTGTGGCTCACGCCTGTAATCCCAGCACTTTGGGAGGCCAAGGCAGGTGGATCACCTGTGGTCAGGAGTTCGAGACCAGCCTGGCCAACATGGTGAAACTCCCTCTCTACTAAAAATACAAAAATTAGCCAGGTGTGGTGACACACGCCTGTAATCCCAGCTACTCAGGAGGCTGAGGCAGGAGAATCACTTGAACCCAGGAGGCAGAGGTTGCAGTGAACCGAGATCATGCCACTGGACTCCAGCCTGGGCGACAGAGCCAGACTCTGTCTCAAAAATAAATAAATGACATCTACAAGAAATATATGGCTAAATCAGGCTTAATGGTGCAAGACTGAATGCCTTTCTCCTGAAGATTAGGAAGACTGTCCATTCTCACCACTTCTATTTTACATTGTACTGGTGATTTCAGATAGTGCAACAGGCAAGAAAATAAATAAAAGGCCTTCAGATTGGAAAGGAAGAAGAGAGTTAATCTCTATTGGCATCAACATAATAGTCCATATAAAATATCCTACAGAAGTTACCAAAAAACTACTGGAACTAACAGCTGAGTTTTGCAAGGTTGCAGGATATAAGATGAAAACACAAAATAGTCATCATAATTGTACTTCCACATACTAGCAATGAATAATTGGATACTGAAATTTTTAAAAATACGCTTACAATAATATCCAAAAATAAGAAATATTTAGGGAGAAAATTGACCAAAAAATGGATACTTGTACATTAAATCTGTAAAACGATGCTCAGAGAAATCAAGGAAGACCAAAGTAAATCAAGGGATATGTCATGCTTGTGAATTACAAGGCCCAGTATTGCTACAACGTCAATTCTCATTTGCTTTATAGTCAATGCACTCTCTCAGTCAAAATCCTAGCAGATTTTTTCTGTAAAAATTGACAAGCTCACCCTGAAATTCATATGGAAATTCAAGGGATCTAGAATAGCCAAATCAACTATAAAAAGATGAATAATACTGCAGGACGTACATTACCTGATTTTAAGATTTATAAAGTGGGCCAGGCGCAGCAGCTCACACCCGTAATCCCAGCACTTTGGGAGGGCAAGGTGGGAGAATTGCTTGAGCCTGGGAGTTCGAGACCAGCCTAGACAACATAGCAAGATCCTGTCTCCACAAACAAATAAACAAAAAATTAGCATGGCTTTGTGGCACAAACTTGTAGTCCCAGCTACCCTGGGGGCTGAAGTAGGAGGATTGCTTGAGCCTGGGAGGTCAAGGCTGCAGTGAGCTGTGATTGTTTCCTGCATTCCAGCCTGGATGACAGAGTGAGACTCTGTCTTAAAAAAAAAAAGTTACTGTAATCAAGATAGTATGGTATTGATATAAAGATAGGCGAATAGGTCAGTGGAACAGAAGATGATTGAGAATCAGACCTACCTGTGTGGAAAATTTATTTCTGACAAGGATGCAGAGGGAAGTTCATGGAGAAAGAACAGCATTTTCAA